ACTGTTTTCCTGACCCTGTGACTTTGAATAAAGACCCTGAAGGGAAGTATGAAGCATTGGAGAAGTATGGTAAAGATTTGACAGCAATGGCAAGAGAAGGAAAGCTTGACCCAGTGATTGGAAGAGATGATGAAATACGCAGGTGCATTCAGATCCTTTCTAGGAGAACAAAGAACAATCCTGTGCTAATTGGCGAACCGGGTGTTGGGAAAACTGCAATTTCTGAAGGGTAAGTGCTTAGGTTTCAGTTTCATGCATGATTTCCTTTACGTTAAAGCCCATTTACATTAAGTAGGTCCAGCTATTCTGATGCAGGTAGGTTAATATATGTGCCCAGCTCTTCTTGAGTGTAAGGGTCGAACTCTAGATATGTGTGCAACATGAATATGTTCAATTTTTTCTTTCGATATTTTTTTATGTATTTGGGGTGTCTTTGGATATCGCATCCTCATACCTATGTCTAGATAAGCGCAGTACATGGGTGTCAAACACAGGTACTTAAAACGAAATGAAGATTCAGAGCAACATAGCATATACGTGCATCCAGTCTTTGATGAAGTCAATTTGTTGAAACTAGCATTTTCAGATTAGTATTAACTTAATTTCTACATGATCTTGCTATGTCTTTTTACAGGCTTGCCCAGAGAATTGTGCAGGGTGATGTCCCTCAGGCTTTGATGAACCGTAAGGTGAAGTTAACTAGCATTTTTCCTGATTATTTTCTCAGGAAAAAATATGAATATCAATATTTATTTATTTCTTTTTGAAGGGTGGGTGGGTGGGTGGGTTGTTGGAATCACAATGTTGCAGATGCTGATAAACAGGTTTCTCTCTACAGCTTATCTCACTCGACATGGGCTCGCTCATAGCCGGGGCTAAATATCGGGGAGAGTTTGAGGATAGACTGAAGGCTGTACTTCGGGAAGTAACAGAATCTGAGGGCCAAATTATCCTCTTCATAGATGAGATTCACACTGTTGTGGGGGCGGGTAAGGTTTTCTACAAGTTTCTAGGTTTATAGGTTGATTTTTCAATATCGATAAAGTTGGCTGAACTGTGAAAAACTCTTTCTTCCATCAGATTTGAGATAATTGTTCATGGAAATTATGTGTTTCTCCCTGATAGGCTAATAATACTTGTTTGTGTTTGTGGAAATGGTCTTTCTATTTCAGGTGCCACCAATGGTGCAATGGACGCAGGCAATCTGCTGAAGCCCATGCTTGGTCGAGGAGAACTACGATGCATTGGGGCAACGACACTGGATGAATATCGTAAATACATCGAGAAAGATCCTGCCCTGGAGCGTCGTTTCCAGCAGGTTTATGTTGATCAGCCAACGGTAGAAGATACAATCTCTATACTCCGGGGTCTTCGTGAGAGATATGAGCTGCATCATGGAGTCCGTATTTCCGACAGTGCACTTGTGGAAGCTGCAATCTTGTCTGACCGTTATATCAGTGGTCGATTTTTACCTGACAAAGGTAGGATATGCACAAACATAACAAACAGATATTGTCAAGTTGGTGATGCTCGTATTTGCGTACTAATATATGTTTCCAAATTGCAGCTATTGATCTAGTTGATGAAGCAGCTGCTAAATTGAAAATGGAAATCACTTCGAAACCAACTGCCCTTGATGAGATCAATCGTTCGGTACTGAAGCTGGAGATGGAGAGGCTGTCTCTCACAAATGATACTGACAAAGCATCAAGAGATAGACTGAGCCGCCTTGAGGCTGAGTTGTCGCTCTTAAAGGAGAAACAGTCTCAGCTGACTGAACAGTGGGAGCACGAGAAGACCGTGATGACAAACATTCAGTCGATCAAGGAAGAGGTATGCAAGTTTTCTGTAAAAATCTCTTTAAAAGCTTTATTTTGCTGGCACCATACATTTTGCTATTTGTCATCTGTGAGGTTGAGGTCATCTTCTAGCATTTCCGGTTTTTTTATGGATGAATACAAATCAAGGTAGTCAACTAACTGATTTACTTATACAGATTGATAGGGTAAATGTAGAGATCCAGCAGGCCGAGCGTGAGTATGATCTCAATCGTGCTGCTGAACTGAAGTACGGGAGTTTGAACTCTTTGCAGCGTCAACTTGCTGATGCCGAAAAAGAATTAGATGAGTATATGAAATCCGGAAAATCAATGCTGAGAGAAGAAGTTACTGGAAATGATATTGCCGAAGTAGTTAGTAAATGGACTGGCATACCTGTTTCCAAACTTCAACAATCTGAGAGGGAGAAACTATTATATTTGGAGGAAGTGTTGCATAAACGAGTAGTGGGTCAAGATCCTGCTGTTAGATCCGTAGCTGAGGCCATTCAACGATCTCGAGCTGGTCTCTCGGATCCCCGTCGTCCAATTGCAAGTTTCATGTTTATGGGTCCCACTGGTGTAGGGAAAACTGAACTTGCTAAGGCCCTTGCATCCTACTTGTTTAATACGGAAGAAGCACTTGTTCGCATCGATATGAGTGAGTATATGGAAAAACATGCAGTTTCGAGACTTATTGGTGCTCCACCAGGTTATGTGGGCTATGAAGAAGGAGGGCAGCTGACGGAGACAGTTCGTCGGAGGCCATATGCTGTGATTCTTTTTGACGAGATTGAGAAAGCACACGGTGATGTTTTCAATGTTTTCCTTCAAATTTTGGATGATGGAAGAGTCACCGATTCACAGGGTCGTACTGTGAGCTTTACCAATACTATCATCATTATGACTTCGAATGTGGGTTCGCAGTACATTCTGAACTCAGATGAAGACACACCGAAAGACCTAGCATATGAAACTATTAAGTCGAGGGTGATGGAGGCTGCAAGAGCAGTATTTCGACCCGAGTTCATGAATCGTGTTGATGAGTATATAGTGTTCCAGCCCTTGGACCGCGAACAAATAAACAGTATCGTGAAATTACAGGTAAGTTTCTCGGTTCCTTATACACCGTCAAGCCGATCATGTCGTTTCTTTGTGCTTAGCCGCCTTGTTTTCTCTGTTTGCAGTTGGAACGTGTGCAAGTAAGAATTGCAGATAGGAAAATAAAACTTCAGGTGACAGACAGTGCTGTTCAACTTCTTGGAAATATGGGTTACGATCCGAACTTCGGTGCTAGACCAGTCAAGAGAGTGATTCAGCAGCACATCGAGAACGAACTCGCCAAGGGCATACTAAGAGGAGAGTTCAAAGATGAGGACACAATCTTACTAGACACTGAGCTAACCGCGTTCGCAAACGGCCAGCTCCCCCAGCAAAAGCTGATCTTCAAGAAGCTCGACAACGATTCAAATGCACAATCAACGGGCAGCGAAGAAACTTTATCGCCATCTGTCTGAAGTCGAACAAACTCGACAACAATGTGGAACCGACAGTATCGATAACTATGTCCAAAAGTTGGTATTTATGTTTTTGCTTGAAGACCAAGTATTAAACAATTTTGCATACATTGTATATGATTCCTCCTTTTAAGTCTGGAATAAACCTATTTACCTTCAGCGGCGGTGATAAAAATGGTTTAATTATGTTTTAAGTCCCTCTTGAAAATAAGTAATGCAATTAAGTTTTTTAGCATAATTTTTATTTTATTTTAACCCTCCAATAAACAGATCTCTGCTTTGGTAGCTTGAATGATACTGCAATCCAATTCAATCTGATGACTGATATTATGAAAACAGAAGCTGGATTCATTACCAATTCTCCTATAACTAAACACTATTATACCAATAAATGAACCAAATAATCAAAACCCTCAATTTTAAGAGCACGGATGATCCATCTGTAAGATACATTTCAAGCATAAACTATTTAACCCACAAACCCTGGTTGGTTCTTCCAACAAAGTATCTTTCTTTGGCATAAATAGAGAAAAAAAAATTAGAACTTTGAGGCTTAAATAAACAAATGGAAAAAACCCAATTCAAGTTTGAAGGCTTGAAGCTTGAAATTTGAAACTAAGATCAGTTTAAATGAAATAGAGGTTACCTGCAAAGTTCTATGGGATTCTAAATATCACAATGAGCAGTTTTTCCCGATGCTAAAAGAAGGGTAAGCTACAAATCTGGTATCCGAACTATCACTTTTGTTCTATTTTAATCAATCAATTATTTTTTTCAAAATCATACATAGTCCTGTAAACGAACCGAATGTGTGAGCCGTTTGTGAATCGTTCAACATGAAGTTCGTTTATTTATTAAATGCACGAACATAAACATAAACAAAATTTTATTTTCGTTTAATTAAATGAACAACACAAGCAAAGAGCTCGTTCGTTCATTTACGTTCACGAACGTTCGATTATTTGTTCGTTTATTTATGTTTTTTTATGTTCGTTCGCTTATATCTAGTCCAATCCCTTAAAAATATTATGACCTAATAATTTTTTCCTTAAACTCATTAATATTTTAAAATCCAATTAATTTTAAACTCAAATAAAAAAAATACCCAATTCAATGAAAGAAAATATAAACCCTATTTTTTAGTAAAGAAATAAATCTTCTCAAATTTAAACTCAATTAATTTTATGTTCGTTCGTTCATGTTCATTTACGTTTATTTATCATTTTAACGAACAAACATGTATAATAAATTTCATTCATTTAGTTGTTAGCGTTCAATCGTTTGTTTGGTTTAAATTAAACGAATGAACAAGAACATACCCTCGTTTGTATTCGTTTACAGTCCTAATCATACCTAATGTTTAATTTTAGTTTTATTTTGGTCACCTATTGTTAAAAAAATTAAATGAACTATTGTTGTATTTTTTTCAATAATGGCACGACATTATCTTATGGTGACATGTCAGCACCACCATCAATATTTTTTGACGTTGGGTAACCAAAATAAAACGTTAGACATGTTTTTGAAAAAAAAATAGTTAGGTGATAAAAAAACACACAAGTGATAGTTGGGGTGCTAAACGTGTAATTCACCCTAAAATATAATAGCGACATTATTTTGTTGGGATACGGAAACGCATCATTTTAAGCTCTTTAAATTCTGATGCCAGTAACCCTACTACCGGTTAAGAGTACCGAGAACAAACAGTTTCACTCTTGAAGAATTGAAGAAATGGGTAAAACAAATTTCTATGTTGCTTTTTTTTTATTTTTAGAATTGATTTCCCCCTTTTTTATATGAAATTTTGATGAATTGAAGAAGCGAAAGACAAAGATTCAAAGGAAGGAGTTGCATCAATAGCATTGTTGCCGGATGGGTCCCTTTCGGGACATTTCCTTCAGCTTCCTCAATCTATCTGCTATGGACTTCATGGCACCGGTACTTCCTTTTTACTTGTTATATTATCCTCGCTTCTTCCATTTTTCCTCTGCTTTTAGCTTGTTAGTAAATGTTGAAATAGAAAAAATAGTCTCAGACTATGAACTTTGTGGTGAAGTTTAAGTACTTGCCTGTAAATTGCTTGTTTAGTACTTTTATTTCCCTGGGTCTGTTTCATTTTTAATCCTCCATGTCCATTTTATGGTACTTGTTCGGTTCGAGCTGTGATCAGTTCGAATTGTGTTCGGTTCAAGCTGTGTTCGGTTCGAATTGTGTTCGGTTCGAATTGTGTTCGGTTGTGTCTTATCACTGCACACAAACTGTTTGTGTTTGTGTTTGTGTTTGTGGTCATTAGTTACACAAATGTCTATTAGTAACTTAAAAGTTGGCTTTATGCACTCTTTCTCACTGTATCTTTCATTCCATGATTAAAGAATTGGATTGTGAGATGGAGTGCAGTAGAGGTGAAGATTACCGCTTGATAAAGCTCACAAGCATAGACTACAATGTATGAATCTTATCCACAAACAATCGGCATCTATCTATCTATTTATCTGTCTGTATTTTTAATTAGTATCAGTGTGCGACAGAAGAAGAAAGATCATACCGTTGTAGTGGAGTGCAGAGGGCACGATGCTGCTCGGTTCCATAACATCAACCATGCTCATGGGTAAGTCGATGTCAGAACAGACTTCTTCAGCTCGTTAATTCCCTTCGTATACGTGTTGTCCAACATATATTTGGATGTAGCCCTCAAAATATATGAAAAGATTTACTAAAATTTGAGTATACCTTTGTACGTTACATACCCGAATCGGACTTTTATGGTTTTACCTGGAGTTAGAGTAGCATATTCAGTTACTATGTTTCTCTCATTCTATATTTTGAGTGATTGAAATTCATGTTTGGGACAGTTGGGAACAGGATGTTGTGGATATGGTTGAACAAAAAGAAGTGAAGAATAAGATTTCGATCTTGTTCGTGTGCGACACACTGAAATCTGACAAAACGGCTGAAGAACATATAAAGCAGTTCATGGCTATATTATCCGGAATCGATGCTGTTGGTATGAGATCTCTTGTTTTTTCCTTATACCAATGTTGGGAAACTCTTGTTTACAATGCTGCAAATCGATTATCGAACCGTCTTAGATTCATGGCAACTTCAATATAACCTAAGCTAATTAAGTTTCCTTCATTTCTTTCGGATAGGACCCTAACTTCCTAGTTTTGAATATTTGCAGTTAATATTGGACCGATGAGCATATCGGGAATGGACTTTGAAACAGACATTGCATAGTCGAAGCCAGATTTACCAAGTGCTATTAGGTAGATTTACATACTTGATGAGCATATGAAAACAAATATAATCACATATTCATTTAGATGTCCTTTTGTGATAACTTGATGAGTGTATGCAACCATAATGCTTCGATAGAATCATGGGCTCTATTCGATATGCTTAAAAGAAACAACGATCATATGTCCAGTTCGTACGAGCCGACAGCCGACATAATATCATACCTATTTATTGCCTTAAGCATCCAATTCGAGAACGAGAAAAGCTCAAAAGAAGCTGTAAAATATAGTAACTTATAAATTCGTCAATAAATTAATATGATAAAATATAATAAATTATTATTCCAAAAATTGTAAACGTAAGATTCTAAAAAAATTACTTTACTTTTTCAATAATTAACAATAATAGCCAAACAGTTGCAAGAAAGATAAAATATAATAAATTAATGTTTCAAAAATTGTAAACGTAAGACTCTAAATATATATATATTTTTATCATTAATTATTAGTCAGATCAATAATTAACAATAAAATTAAAAGAAATAGAAGAAAGGTCGAGATCTTGAAATAAAAAGTATATGATAAAATTAAAACATATAGATTAAATATAAAGTAGTATATCTTCAAAAGACATTGTATTTGAACTGGGACCTCAAGAGGTAACGACTAAATTTTGAAACCCTAAAATTATATTTTCTATTGTATTCTTCCTATTTTATTAGATAAATTATTTATTTGACCATTTATTTATATTTATGTTTTATCATCAGATAATTTTTTTTCCAAAACCATACTTTAAATTAAGTCTTGTTTTTATTTTTGTCATCCATCATTAATGACATTGTTTTATTTGTTAATTTCCACGCCATTTTTATTTCACTGTCAACAACTCAATGATATTTTTTTAATTGATTTTATTCCACCAACAAAATCATTTAATGTTAAAGAAAATGTAACATTTATTTTTTGAAATAAGAAAAAAATATTTTAATATATAAAATAGTTCAAACTTTATAAATTTATTTTATTTTATTACTAATATTTTTATAGAATTGAAATGAAATATATTTTTAATAATTTTATTATAGCAAAGCAGCATCAAAATGGAACACAAAGGAATATACAATTAAATGATTCACAAATTATGTGATACAAATCAATTCATATCACAAACAGAAGCAGTCTATGAAGAAACATATCAAAGATCACACTGCACATCAATGGTTAATGAAGAAGTTGATGAGTCCTTTACTCACTGACATAGTTTAATGAAGTTTTTGCATCTTGGAGGGAGATGGAGATCACGGTTTCGAAGGCACCAACCAAGGCCTTTACCTTACTTTTCCGGGTTTCGACGAGGTTTTTCGCAGTTTCTTCGATGACTTCATTAAACAAACCCTTTCCATCTTGCTTTCCCACCACATCCCACTGCCTTGAAACAATCTTCCCCCCACCATTATTATCTTCATTGTATGCAGAGTCCGAGTGATGATCGGCTCCGATCACGGTATACTTGGATTCATCTCGAACGGGCGGAGACACTTCAATGGTACAATTTTCATTTACATCAGATTCCAACATTACATTCTCTGTCTCCAGCTTGATAGCATACAGCGTTTTCTCCTTATTGGTGTCTCTGCCGCTTTCGTTTCGAATCTTTTGTGGAAGAACAACCTTTAAGTTCATGTTCTTCCTTGCAGTCAGGCTTATAGGCCCTGAAAGAGAATCTCTTCGGGACAATGAAGCTCTGCTTAGACCTTCAGGCAGGGCAGCAGCAGGAAGAAGCTTTTCGGCCCGAGGCTTCGTATTCGAAGTAAAAGGCCGTTTAGAAAAGCTCTTGTCATTAGCATCTGATGATGCAATTTTCTTTGCATGTAGTCTCCCGGAAGGTGATGATCCGTCCTGCTGCATATGGGATTTAAACCTGGGTGAAGATTTGGGCTTCCTTTTATCCTCGGACACTTTGTGTATGGTAGAATTATTTCCAACCGGAGAGTTTGGTAAAGATTTGGGCTTCTGTATGCTCCTATTGGGAAAAGGAAGCCTATCCTTCACTTCAGATACATGTTTCTTCCCCGCTTTGCACAAATCATTAGAAGTTCCTATTGAAGCTCTCCGGTAATGGGAAACTGATTTTTCTCTTCTGTTTGCAGAAACTGCTAACGAGTTTCTTCTCGGATTACCCCCATTGATCCCACTAGTATCAGGTTTCTTTGCTGAACTAAAACTCTCACCACCCATTAAATATGTAGCTAATTGAATGAACGCTCACGACATACAATCCTGAAACCCACCCAAAACTCTATGTCAATTATACATACACATGCATACACGTCATATCTCACTGTTAAAAGAGAATGTTATTTTTCTTAAAATCCTTGGATTCGAGCGGTTACGTCTTCAGAGTATACTTCATTAATTGATTTAAGAAAAATCTAAACAGATATTACTTATCGCCCCAGACTATTCAATACATGCATATACAGAGACTGGTAGATGTAAAGAATAAAAGAGAACTAACCAAATTTTATTCGGGTGTTGTGCATCGAATTTGTCTACCTGGAGAGTTAAAGATCATGAGAAACCAGTTCATATAAAGCTAAAGGAACAAATCCAACTCAAAACTCACAATTCGGAAGAAAAACCCATTGTTGTAAACAATCCATAAACCAAAACCCATGTTATATATTATTTCAAAAACCAGAAGAACAAACAAAAATAGCCCTTTGGATGTGAAACTGCTTATAACAAAGGGAGGTTATACCTTTTTTTCATATAAAAAAGCTCATCATTAGTAACTCTGTCCTTTCTGTTCTACCAGAAAGCTGACAGAAGGCAACTCAAGATTAGCTTTGCATTATGCGTATGGTTGGTTGTAGATTTGGATAGAAATATAGAGGGAGGAAGAGGTTTCCACTTAACAAAACCGCCATGAAAGAGACTCATTAACTTCACCTCAATCGTTGTTGATTCAAATCGTATTGCTTTAAAAACACAAAATTCGTTTTAATGAAGTTTGGCCAAGAGAAAACAAATATGAATTTGTATTTAAATATAATAATATTAAAAGGCTAATACATATAAGAATAATACTCATTTTTTGCTACGAAAATAGCATCCAAACAATATTATTTAGAAAAATGTTTAATGATATTCGAGGTCTTAAATTTTTTCGGAAAAAAAAATCAATAAGATCAATGACGGATGCAGAAATTTATGTCAGGGATGCGAACTTAAGAAGTTATATTTAAAAATTTAGAATGAATGAAATTAGATAAACAATAAGAAATACAAAGATAAAATCTAAAATATAAGAGAATTTGAAAATTCTAGACCGCACCTCACGGTCCATCCCTGAATACGATCCTTGAATTTTTTTACACTCAATATAGCCTTAAACTAAGAAAACAATATTACTCCTTCAACAGAGTCAATCCAACCGATAATGTCATTTTTTTTGTAACTCTCATTTAGTAGTAGAATTGTTGATCATAAACCTATGCATCTATTATTCTATATAGATCATTCATCGTCATCAATATTGACAATACACACTGATGTTGATAATTTTATACATAATATTGATCAAGATGATGAAAACAATGACGATAATGATCCTGTAGATAATCGATTAATACGAAGAAATCGCACGTGAAATAGACGATCATTGTCCTGGAAAATCTATTCGCGAAAACTCATCATTAAAAATGTAGCATTTTTTATTTTATTGTTTATCAATATTTTTATTTTTTTCCCCCAATACAATGTTGTCTAGTTATTATAAATATTTTTATTTTTTTATTTTTTTTTTAAATGTCTATCAGAAAGTAAAAAGTGCCTTATGATAGTGAAGGTGGTGATGAGATAATCACGTCGGACGAAGGTGCGTTTTATAAAAATGTCTTTTAAAGACGCTTATGATAAGAAACAAACTCTATATACATAATAAAAAAATTAATTAAAAATAGTATTATTTTGAATATTAATTTTTATAAGATACAAGAAAAACTGAAAACTTTCTTAAAAGAAGTTATTTCAAAATATTTAATCAAAGAAATAATTAAATATATGCTCATGAGAATCGAGAAACTTGATTCAGTTTCTTTTATACTAAGATATTAATATTATTTAATAAGAAAATTATTAAATGATTTGATTATTATTTTTACTTCTTTTTAATTATGTTTTAGTTCATTGATGTGAGGCGGTACTGGCCATATTAAATAGTCTCATTGTCATTGAAATATTCTAACAATATTTAAGCTATCACCATAACGTTTGGTCATATTAAATTGTCACTTTCATTAAAATATTTCAAACAAAATAAATTAAGCCACCACAAAAGATGAATTTTATGTAACATTTGTTATTTTTGTTTTACTATTAAAATTAGTACTTCTAAAGAGAACAACATTAATTATCTTTTACTATTACGATCATTCGATGATTCACATATTTCCCCTTTTGATTTTATTGTTTTCTTGTTTTCTTGTTTTTACATCGCCCATTAGTTGTGTCTCTGTACTTTACTTTCATTGCAATATAAAACAACTATACAAGAGTTCTCGTATCTTTCATCTTCTCCTCAAATGTTATCATTATTTATTGTAATGCATGCATGAGAAAGATATAGAATTAATTGCATTGTATGTCCCAAATTATTATTCTTATCTTAAATTTGTTCTTAAACTTTTGAATATTTTAATCTCGACTTCAAACTATGAATCTCATTTTAAATCAGTCGTTAGACTTTTAATCATTCCAAATTTCATCCCCAAATTATGACCCTCATTCTAAATTAGTCCCAAACTTTTGAATCTTCCCATTTCATCCAAAATTGTAAATAGTTTCAAACCATATTTTAACCTAAATTTTATTTTTTTCAAACGTATAATAATATAATTTGTCCTAATGATTCTATTAACAAAGGACGTGATTAATATATACATATAGTTGATATGAAATTGAAATATTCAAAAAGTTTGGGGACTAATTTAGAATGAAGGTTATAGTTTGGGGATGAAAGTGAATGATCAAAATTTTGAGGATAAATTTAAAATGATAGTCATAGTTCAATGATGAAATTAAAATATTTAAAAATTTAGAAACTAATTTAAAATAAAGATTATAATTTCAGAACGTATGAAACAATTAACTCAAAGATATAAGTAAGTTTAATAATGAATTTAATTTAACTTCAATTAATAATTATATAGTTATAATTTAATACACAGATTGTGTAAAATTTATTTTACATAATATATCTATTTTTCAAAATCTATTTTACATGATATATCTATTTACCTTAAATCTAAAATTCTAAACTATAAAATCTAAAGCTTAAATAGAATATTTAAATAAAACAGATTTGTTACACAAACAATCATGTGTATCACATAATTTTCTATAATTATAACCATAGGAAATTATCAATCCTAAATTAAGATGTAACTTACACATAATTTTTTTGGGTTTAAGATTTCTTTATTGATTTGTTTGCTCTCTTATTAATTTATTACTTACAATATTGATATATCAGTTTAGTTAAGAATAAAATATAATTTAACATTTGAGAATTTAGATTTAAAAATTTAGATTTTTATATATATATTTTAAAAATATGATGTGAATTAAGGGAATTTATCCATAGAAGTTAGTAAATACAAAAGGACACCCCCCCCACCCCAAACGTACTACGTTTCCCGTGCTTTAGCCTAATACTAATAGGGATGCGCATGATAATCGAATCCGAAGAGTTTTGACTCGATCCAACTCGATTAGGTTGAGTTTTTTTTTTAAAAAAAAATTGGATTCGGGTCGGTTGGGTTTTTTTTAAAGATGATGTTCGGGTCGGGTTAGATTCGGGTTTAGGGTGAAAATAACTGACCCGGTTCGACCCCAAAAAAAATATAATTTTACCTTATATATTTAGGAATAATTATAATAATACACCTCTATATATTATTTTTTTTCAATTAAATCATCGTTTTTATTGAATAAAAAATAGTTTTTATTATTTTGGGTTGGGTCAGCTCGAGTTCGGATTTTATCTCAAAAAGTCAGGTCGAGTCGGGTGAAGGATGTAAAATTTTCGGGTTGGGTCGGGTTGGCCGAAACCCGACCCATGCCCATCCCTAAATAAAAATAGGTAAACTATGTATTTAGTACTTAAATTATCATTTTTTATCCGTTTTATTGCCTAAACTTTCAATTTTTTTAAACCATACTTAAAGTTTAATTTTCATTTCATTTTAGTACCCGCCATTAAAAACTTAATGTGTTTAGTACATAAACTATCAATTTTGGTCCGTTTTAGTACCTAAACTTTCAATTTTTTCAAACCTTAACGTTAAATTTTGAATGGGATACTAAAATAAAATAAAAACCAAAAGTTTAACGACGAAATACTAAAACAAAACAAAAACTAAACTTTAGATATGATTTTTAAAAAATTGAAAGTTTAGATATTAAAACGGACTAAAATTGATAGTTCATATATTAAACTTGTAATTTACTCTACAAAGTAATAGTACAAAGACAAACTAATGGACCAAACTGAGAATTATACTAAAGTAGAAGAAAATAAGAGAGCTATTGAGCCTAAAACAAGAGAGAGAAAAATAAATACACCTGCACTGAATTAGATCTAAGGTTACTTAATAAGTTGAGCAGCTCGTGAGTTGCATGAATTCAACTCGATCAACGCTCGATTCAGATTGATTTGACTCGAACTCGAGTTCGATTCAAGATCTTAACGAGTTAAATCAAACAAAGTCTAACTCAACTAGATAAATTCACGAACAACTCATTAATTTTTTTAATAGTTACCATAAAAATATTTCATTAAAAAGAGAGAGCATAATTAATAATTACTAATTTACTAATAGATAATAAAATAATAATAAAGATGATAAATTATTAATTAATAATTACTATTAATTTATTAATTTTCTGATAAATTACAAGACAAATATTAAATTATTAATTTACTAGATTTTATCATTTTATACATAGTTAAATGAACAAGGTAAAAATTCTAAATAACTTAACAAGAAATGTGTAAGTCGAGCAACAATTTTTTTAATAACCACAAGTCAAGCAAAATTTTATCAACTTAACTAGTAACGAATGGAGTCGAGTAATAATTTTTTTAACAGGGTCAAACACTGCTCAGCTCGCGATCAACTCGCTTGATAAACAGTGAACAACCGTAACTAGATCAGTATCAAATACCTCCATCCGAGTCTGAACAACATTAGCAAAATACTTCATCGTGACCACTCACTCAAATCATAAACTCAAAATGCAGTGCATATGAAATTAAAACATAGATTAAAACGAAAAATAGAACCAGCAAATCATATATCAAGCCACGTTCATCCTTGATTGCTTTCACTCATATCAAAAAGTAGAACAAGCATATGCCTAAGAGCCCTGTTAAACACTGAGTTTTTTTCCATGTCTCGGAACTCCAGATGGTGTTTTCCGACAAGCAAATCCCGGAAATAAGAATCAAAACAATCCTACCCATGTTGAAATGAAATAAAATCAAATGTTTCAAAATGGGAGAAAAACCTGTCACAAGTTATTGAGAGCTTGAAGAAGAACCCACATAATCTAGGGATATTGTGAAGTCGTCGAATTTGAGATTTCGACATTTACCGGTCTCCGAGTAAAGATACGGCACAATGTAGGTGTGAACTAACAATCATGATGCTTTATGAGCATGAAACAGACACCATCTCAAGTGATGATCTCTTTCACAAGCCAGTCTAAACTCGGATAAGCAAAGTACAAGATGAGAAGTGAAGGGAGACCAAAGAGAATGGTTACGAGTATGTACAGGGCCAAGATGGCAGCACTGGCCGGCACTGCATACAGGATGATCAAGAGAAACAAGATGATTAACGGGAACTTGGCAGTCAGATGTACGAAGAACGCCAGACACTTCCGAAGGGTTGACTGTATTCTTTCCAAATTGAAGTAATCAGCAAGAATATTACGATTGTTTGTTGATCCTAATGGCTCAGAATGATGATGATATGGTCCCCTTCGATGGTTACTCCGAGTCATTTGGATTCCTGCATGCATATTGTTGTTTGTTGATAAGTCCAGCTGACGATCTTCGGCAAATGAAGAATGAAACTTAAGTCTATCACCATTCATGCTCTCGACCATCCAAAGTAGAAAATAGTTCTTCCGAGGGAACTTGAGATTTCCCCGATAAACCAGACGAAATGACAAGAGATTGCACCAAGGGCAGGAGATGAAAAGTGGAAGTTGGACCGGCAGGGTAGGGAATTTCACCACAGCCCATTGAAGTCCCAGAATGCAGTTTTTACAAAGGGTGTGACCGCACCATAAAACATATGGCACATTTTCAACGATGTTGAAGGATTCACAGCATATTGGGCAGTCTAGAACTTCATCCCTGCTAACTATGGAAGAACTTTCATCGTCAGAACATTCCGATGATGCGCGAGTTTGCTTTAGTGAATCATTTTTCAGTCCAACAGTTCCAGCAATGCATTTGGATGCAAAACTCCACATGTTGATACAAGGAACACAAGTAATTACATAAGCGTCATTCTCAATTAGTAGAAACTGGACCTCAAGAATTACAACATAATGTCGAAAAAGAAATGTGTCTGCCAAATGCAAATAAAAAAGGGCTAAGTACCAACAAAAGCAACCTGAAAGGAAAACGAAGAAGAACTTTAGGTAGCAATAATTGCAGAAATTTTAACTGCAAGCAACTATTGTTAATGTATTGAACTAGCAGGCCATTCAGAATTAACCTACCATTAATAAAAATGCATAATATACTACAAATCAAAGAGGAAAAGCGGAAAACAGTAACATCTCCTCATCTATAGCTCTTCAGTAAACATTCAAGAAACTCAAAACCACAGTGATGAGCAACAAAAGTGAAAATTCAACGCCCAGCAGGACAATTGTTGGCCTTCTAAGTTCGATGTAAGCCTAATCAGTGTAATGAAGGATGCAAGGCATGAAAGACGCTCACTTGAATGAAATAAGTGTATATGGTATGTTTTTGTAATGTGTGTTTGTATACATACATACATACATACATATAAGCTTCTAAGTTCAACGTAAGCCTAATCAATGTTGTGAAGGACGCAAAGTACGAAAAAGATGATGGCTTAAATGAAAAAAGACGCAATATGTATATGTGTATTTTTTTTGTACGTGTACATACATACATACATATATGAGCTTAAGAAAATGTAATTATGATAGTGAAATCTTAAGATATAGAATTACAACACTAGATATACATACAAAGTTGGCTTGAAGCGTGATCAGAGTTCGAGTTCAACTTATCCTTTTATCATAAAACTTCATTTTAGATCAAATCTTTAGATGCCGAATATTTCAAACAAATACCCGATTCCTGAAAATGACAAATTATCTTAAATCGCATATTGAATATACCTCTTCCAGAATCATAAATCAATGTTTCTCGATCACTTTGAGGAACAAATATAACTGAGATTGACAATTGATAAATACAAGAACCAAAATTATCTAAAGATTGGATCAATTACTGATGTGTGTGTGTGTGTAAATATAGAGATATAGATTTAAACAGATATACGCAAGAACCCATACATGAAACACCCTCAAATAAACATTTAACATAAAACATTAAGATCTTTGCAATTGAAAGCATCTTTCAACAGTAAATAATAGGAAAATAAAATATAGAAATCTGAAATAACGATCTTACCGAGTATTGGGTATCTTATATGATGATAAACAGATAATTTCAGCTCTCTTTTCCTCAATGATTACTGTACTTTTTTTCCTATGACTGAAGAAACTGGAATACTGCTAAAATTTGGGGCGATGGAGAATGAACAATTGGGTTTTTGGACTGTGTAAATGTGATTTAAAGAAAGAAAACGAAAAGGAAATCAAGAATCAAGGATCGTGGAACATGTATTTTATTTGGGAAAGGGACTAACGTGGCCTATTTCTTTTTCTTTTTCTTTAAGACCAACGTAGCCTATTTCTAATCGGCAATGACGTGGGCTTTTTCTTCTTCTCTTCGAACGCTGGCATTCGGATCTATTTAGACGGGTTACAGGTTTGGATTATTATTAGGATAAAGTACACAAATGATCCCTTGATCATAGGATTTTTTTGTTAGGTCCCTCGACTATTAAAATTACGAAATAATCTCCTGACTATAGAAAATTGTTTTATTAGGTCTTGACTATTAAAAGTTATCGATTATTTATATGTTCTAAACTCTTCATTTTCTGTTAAAAATTGAAGGCAATCTAAGCTAGACGTTAATCTGTTGATTGTAATAGGATAAAATCTGATATCAAAATCTCAAATTAATCATTAATTATCATAGGAGTCAACGTTGAAGTTCCAACGGATCAATCAAAGTTGCAGCATATTTATTCAAGATGATCATGTGGCCTTATTGACAAGAACATTGCAGCATATTTTCTTAGTCTACTTTCAATTCCATCATTAATTATCACAGGAGTCAACGGATCTGACTTAATCTTCATCCTATAGCACCTCCATGCAAGCTGTATATTCACTACTGCCCAGGTTCTCCAGTTCGATGAATAGTATCTCGCTGTTCTTTTCAGTCGATTGTTTGCGAATCGGTACCTGAAGTGTTCGCTAATGTACCGCAGATCATCCGCATCCAGTCCGAACGTTTCTGTGTATTCACTGCAGATAAAAGTAGCCGATGAGGCCGGAAGACGGTCTACAAATGGGCGACGTAGGCACCATGAAAAGAGTTCATCGCCCAGAAATCCACCTGGTTCGAGTATACTTGTGGCTATTTTGCCTTTGCTGAGGCATTGGCAACGTGTAACGCGTCCGGAGACGATAAACACCATCCTTAGCACCGGATCTCCTTCTCGTATTATCTGTCATGTATGGACTACAAGTTGTTCAGCAAATTTTCAACTGTTGTTTATGGCATGGTAGTTGAGTGATATTGTGTCGTTTTTGTTTCCGCACCTTTTCGTCTTTCGAGTAAACGAGAGGCTTCACACGATCGCATACATTGTCGAGGATTAGATCGTCTAAGCTCTGGAAAAGTGGTACCTAAGAAAACATGTTGCAATTCTTGATGAACTTAATTTGTTTCCAAGAATCGGTTTCCTTCTTGATCAAGTTAAGGCATTGTTTCCAAGGACATTCAATGATGCTACTTTGGTTACCTTCTTTATCAAGTCAAGGCAAAGGTAGCGTTTGATGTCTCTGCGCAGCCCATCCGGAAGCTCTTCGATCCATTTCATCTCTTCTTCTCCTCCCCTGGTAACCCATGTTTTGCTCTCAAAATGCCGTACTCGTTGCCTTAAACCGGAAGGCAACTGCCTTCTTCTCATCCACCACTCGACATCTCGATGCCTTAACTGCATTTTTTTGCGGTTCGCCATAACCACATGTAGGAATACCTATAGAACAATCACAATAACCTTTGTGGATGGTAGTTTCTCCAAAAGACCGAAAATATATACAGATCTATAGGAGCAAGTAAATTCACCTGAATGTTCCCGATCAACAAGGTGAAGAGAAGCAAGCCTCCCAGGACGATGCAAATGCTGAACACCACCTCTAATGGGCTACTCGTCGGACTAAGCTCATTCCCGAATGAGCTGTAAGTTTTTATTAGCACAATGTAACATACAATTTTCAAATGAAATATCAAACTATAGAAGAGATGTAGGCTGAGTTTGTACTAAATATAGTGATATTTCCAGCTACTGATTATACCAAAATCAACAAGTCACAAACTTTGATTCTTATGTAGGTTACCTCAGGTTCAATAAGCCCCAAAATATGGGATACAGAATCTTAACTGCCAGAGAGTTGCTAGAAATGACCGGAAGGGCGGCTTCATAGATCCCGTATCGGAATGGTCCATCGGGATCGAAACAAAATGATTTAGTCGTCAATGTTGAGTTCCCTCCACATCGACTTGCAGGCAACGGATATTGACTGCAAACTCTGTTCGAGCAAGAGGAAGATATATCGCAACGAGCACTTCTTCGGCACTGTTGTTCGAGGCACATGACGACACGTTGGGTCGCTAGGACGTACCAGCATCCTCCGGCAACCTGTGTAGCAAGGAAAAGAGAACGTCCGATGAAGTTTCAGATGAGGAGAAAGGTTAATACACATTTGGAGACGGGCATGGAAGTCGACCCACATGAGATGCGATCAAGTAGGCGATCAGATTAAGGCCGAACCCCCACCAAATGGAGCCGAAAACATAACCCGTAACTTTTCTCATTCCCCTCATCAAGCAAAGGCTATGGTACATGTCGACACCGCTTTCCGCCCGGGCGAGGGAAAAACTTAGTACAACTTGGGGTTTTCTTTGAAAAGGTTTTGAAAAGATTTTGAAATGTTTTGGAGTCGTCATCGACCTTTTGAGTTAGGTAGGTCGAATACCTAAAAATTTTCTTTTAAAAGAGTTTTTAAGAAAAACGTCATTTTAAAAGATACACTGATCCACTTGTAACCAGAAATTCATTTTTAAGCAATAATAAGGGTTCGGGGGTCGATTACGTGTGGGGAAGGATAAACACCCCCACAACGCCCATAATTGGTACCCCATCGATTATAAATCGTCTCTAACAGTGAGAATCTAAGAATTTGAATATAAATTTAAGTTACGATCCTATTATTCCATATTCAACCATACAATTTTTATTTAATGAAAATTTTTAAGGAGAAATATAAAATATTCTAATATTTCCAATTGAAGAGAAAATAATCCCTAAAATATTGTAGGACGAATATTTCTCTTTCCAACTGAAATAAAAAATATATATAATAATTTCTCCCAAGAACTCAATATTAAAATAATGTGATTCAACCAAAATGAATAAAACTAAAATAGGCATATTCAAAAGTTTTAGGTTTTTCTAAATAGAGTTTTTATTTATTTTAAAATATCAAAATAGGACATCTAGTTACTTTAAGACCGTCTCTTCTTAATATTTTAAAATAAATAAATACTACCCTTAATCCAATTATGAAATCGATTAAGTTATGCTTATGAAGCTTTCATACATATTCCAAATATCTAGATCTATATGCACAAACAAATTTTCATGGCAAAAGTTATAAATTAAAAATACTAATTAGGAACAAATAAATGAAAATTAAAGCAAAGATAAAAATTAAATGCTATTCAATGATGGAAATAAAATTGAACTAAATTAACAAGTGCATACTTTAAAGCATAAATATTACGTTAAATAAGCAAACAAAATATAATTACTAAAATGAACATTACAAAAATTAAAGTTCTAAATAATAAAGGTTAAATAATAAATACTAAAATGAACAATACAAATGTAAATAAAGAGAATAAAGTACTTAAGTTTAAAAAAATAAAATTGTACATTCACCTAAATTATAAATAATAAAATATAAAACATATGCATCACTTAAAATACATACTACAAATTTTACATGCCAAATATAATGTATAATACATTACACCACAACTCGGGACTAAATTAGAATATTACAAATTATATGCCAAATGAGAAATAAAAAAAAAGTGACTAAAATAAATAAATTACAAATATCACATCCAAATCATAATATAATAAAAACAAAATCCAAACAGTGACTAAAATGAATAAACATAAAAAACAGTGACTAAATTCAAAAGTTAATAAAATCAATATGCATATTCAAAATAAATAACAAAATAAATTACCAGAGTGCAATAGAAGCTAAAATATGAGGGCTTAAGGATGCTTTTACCCTGATAGTGACCAAAATGCAAGATACGCTGAAATAGGGAGGACCTGAAATGCGATTTGACCCTGAAATAAATGAACAAAACAGAAAAACCCCTAGAAATAGGGGACCTGATATGTGATTTAACCATTTTCCATACAAACATAATATTTTCCTCCTCCATTTACGTAAACTGCAGAGAAGCTTATCAAAGCTTCAAACGATTCATTCGACCGTCGTTCACCGGCCCCCACACGCCGTCCACCGGGCCAGGGACCGACCTACACCCGCCGTCGACCTCAAGCATGACGGAGGAGGACCGACCGACCCCTTGAACGGTAAAAAATCTCACCGTTCTTCATATAACACTCTCTCGTTCTTTCACTCACCCCATATCGATGAGGCTTAAAACTGACCCTAAACGACAACCAAAACACCTTGATGACCACCCCATGCTCCGAACGACGATCGAGCCCGCCGAGGGATGTTAAAACGAAGGTCCAAGTGACCTTCTCCTCTCTCTTTGCTTTCAACCAAGACCCTAACAAAGACCCTCCCTACGCTCACCTCCGACCACCAACAACCGACACTCTCACTCGTCGGCCACAACTCATCGATGGCCACTCTCCTGCAACTCATCAGCCTCGAAAAACCAAAGAAAAAGCAAAGTAAGAAAGGAAAAAAGAAAGCCAAAATTGAGAGCCAAGACCAAGTCAAAAATGAAATCTGCTTTTCTTCCTCAAAATCGGGGAAAGGGAGTCTGATGTTACAAGGGTTGGTTGGGGTATTAATAACCCCAACCACTACATTTTAATATTGTTTTTTTACATAATAAAATAAAATAAAAATGGGAAAAAATAGTGTTTACAGCTGCCCCTCTTTGCTCATTATTGTGGAACAGGAATAGAGCAAAGATAGTAAGCACCATTTTTTATCTAGCCTAAATTGCTAAAACCTTGAACTCCAATTTATTCTGATCGGGCAAGTTCTTCTCATTATGAAATCTTCGCTGGGGATGTCAATTCACTTCCTTCTGTGATGGAATCACCAAGGTTAAACAAATTCTTCTTATTATGAACTTCTTCTCCCTTATCAGATGAGTTCTTCTCATTATGAACTCTCTACTGGAAATGTTGATCTACCTTCTTCTGTGATGACATCGAACAAAGTTGAACAAGTTCTTCTCATTATGAACTTCTTCTCGCTCGTCGGATTGGTTCTTCTCATTATGAACCCTTTCATTGAAATGTTGGTCCACCTCCTTCTATGATGGAAACAAGCTAAGGTTGAACAAGTTCTTCTCATTATGAACTTCTTCTCCTTTATCGGATGAGTTCTTCTCATTACGAACTCTCCATTGGAAATGTTAATCCCTCAAGCGAGGTGTTGCTGACTCGAAGTGTTGTGAATCGAGCAATAGGTCGAACAAGCTCTTCTCATTATAAACTTCTTTTCTCTCTATCAGATGAGTTCTTCTCATTATGAACTCTCCATCTGAAATGTCATTCCCTCAAGTGAGGTGTCACTGATTCAAAATGCCATGAATCAAGTGATAGGTCGAACAAGCTCTTCTCATTATGAACTTCTTCTCCCTTTGTCGGATGAGTTCTTCTCATTATGAACTCTCCACTAGAAATGTTGATTCTTCGAGTGAGGTGTTGCTGATTCAACTCCATATGTGATGAATCGAGCTAAGGTTGAACAAGTTCTTCTCATTATGGACTTTTTCTCCTTCATCGGATGAGTTATTCTCATTATGAACTCTCCACTGGAAAGGTTGATCCCTCGAGTGAGGTGTTGCTGATTCAACTCCATATGTGACGAATCGAGCTAAGGTTGAACAAGTTCTTCTCATTATGAACTTCTTCTCCTTCCTCGGATGAGTTCTTCTCATTATGAACTCTCCACTGGAAATGTTGATCCCTCGAGTGAAGCATCACTGATTCAAAATATCGTGAATCGAGTGATAGATCGAACAAGCTCTTCTCATTATGAACTTCTTCTCCCTCTATCGGATGAGTTCTTCTCATTATGAACTCTCCACTGGAAATGTTGATCCCTCGAGTGAGGTGTTACTAATTCAACTCCATATGTGATGAATCGAGCTAAGGTTGAACAAGTTCTTCTCATTATGAACTTCTTCTCCCTCATCGGATGAGTTCTTCTCATTATGAACTCTCCATTTGAAATGTTGATTGGTTCATCTTCTCTTTGAAAAGTTTTAAACCTGCAAAATATTATCATATGTCAGTAATAATGGCGTTTGAAGTACCCGAAGGTATTGATCCAAAGGTCTTAGGATTTTGCTGAGATCCATTTCTTTTAATGGTGAAAACTATGGATTGATTCTTTGCTGAAGTTGTGAAATGAAATCTTTGTTGGCTCTTTGAAATCCTTAATGTTGCAAATTGCTGTGTTTTTGTCTTTGTTGGGTCCATCCTGGAAACGAAACTGCTCATTCTCATTGAAGTGTCCTAGAAAAGTCAACTTGGAAGAAAGACATAATTGAAAATGCTTCTAGGGAAAAATCTTAAGAAATACTCATGTGATATCCCAGAAAAACGGTCCTAAGAAGGACTCAAACAATTCTCTAAAAAATGATCCTAAGAAGGAAAAAATAGTTTTTCAAAATAAACTTTACAGGAATCCTCATGAGAGGGAAATCAAAATTTATCATGTGTATGAAATGATGAAATATATGATGCAAAGATGCTAGTCATGTATAAATGATGGTTTTCTTGATCTGTTGGAAATGGTTGCGAGAGCAGTCTTCATTGCTAGATCAGTCTTCATTCTTAGATCAGTCTTCATTCTTTTCCTGGCTTGATTGTCTTCTTTATATGCTGCACCTAAGTGTATTTTTTCGAATCTTGACTTGTGAATGGGCACATCTTTCTCCAGTAAAATTTTTTCTTTTGATAAATTTAACTTCTTCAAAAATATTCATTTACAGTTATCAAGAAACCCCTAAAATTAGGCTTAACTTCTCTCAAAAATTCAAAAAAAAAATCAAGAAACCCCTGAAAACCAGGCTTAATTTCTTTGAAAATTCATTTGAAAACATCAAGAAACCCCTAAAAATTAGGCTTAATTTCTTTGAACGTTCATTTGAGAAAAATCAGGAAACTTTAAAAAATCAGACTTAATTTCTTTAAAACACATTTGAAAAGCGTCAAGAAACTTCTAAAAATTAGACTTAGTTTCTTTAAAAACTCATTTGAAATCATCATGAAACTTCTGAAAATCAGACTTAGTTTCGTTGAAAACTTATTTGAAATCATCAAGAAACTTTTGAAAATCAGACTTAGTTTCTTTAAAAACTCACTTGAAAATCATCATGAAACTTCTGAAAATCAGACTTAGTTTCATTGAAAACTTATTTGAAATCATCAAGAAACTTCTGAAAATAAGACTTAGTTTCTTTAAAAACTCACTTGAAAATCGTCAAGAAACTTTTGAAAATAAGACTTAGTTTCTTTAAAAACTCATTTAAAATGATCAAGAAACTTTCAAAAATCAGAATTAGTTTCTAAAAAACTAATTTGAAAATCGTCAAGAAACTTCTGAAAATCAAACTTAGTTTCTTTAAAAACTAATAAAAAATACCATGTCAAGAAACCTCTGAAAATCAGACGTAGTTCCTAAAAACACATTAGCTGGGTAACATGCCCCACTTCAAAAATGATGATTGTTATGTGTATTGGTTTCTTCAATTCTTGAGGTTCTGCCACTATTAATGTAATTCCCTCCATTTGAGGTTTGAATTCTGACTTTTCTTTTATTTCTTTCTTGGAAAATCTGTAAGAATTATGTATGTATATATGAATGCACTTAAATGAATCTAAATGTAATGTATGACTTTCTTGTATGCAAAAATGTTAATTATTTTTCTTCTCGCTCCAAAGTGGAGATCTCAGTCTTCCCTTACTTTGATCACCTTGAATGAATTTTGCCTCAATGGTAATTTATCAGCTTAAGCTTCCATCTTCTGAGGAGTAATTTGACTACCTTGTGCAATCGTGTCATTCTGTCTTCTATCTTTGTTTTATTCGTTACAGTCTTAGAAGAAGTGATCTCCTGCAGTCAGGCATACGATCTTGATACCTTTTTCTGGCTCTAATTCAATGGTTCTATCAGAAACAGCGAGGTAATCTCTTCTTTTCCTCATATTCTGCCCTTGGCACTCCCAAACGGCGAAGCTCATTCACCATGTATTTTTTTATTTGAGTCATGTATCTTAGCAAGATCTGGTTTGGTAATGCCCCAATGTGGGTACTTGTGGCTTTTTTTGTGCCAAAATCCTAATCTCGAATGGTCTTGCTCTTGTATCGCCAAACAGTAATGTTATCGAATAACTTGAGGGATGATGCCACAATTATATGGACATTTAGGAAATTGTCAATTCTTCTAATAGAAATGTCTTGAATCTTTACCATTAGCTGAGATAGGTGCCCATTTCGATTAAGGCGATCTTCTTCTTCTTGATGGATTATCGACAACGTCACAAAGAAGTGTTAGAAGTTCTATCCTTCAGTCTTTTCGATCTCTCGAACTATGTAAAATGTCTTCATTACTCTGACATTGTTTGCTTTTTTCTCCGATAGAGGCAGAATGAGCCTCAAGGACCCTTTTCACTTGAGATTGTCATGTTTGAAAATGTTTTTCTCATTTCTTTTAATTTTAGAAATGTGAAAAAAAATTGATGAATAAATTTCAAGAATGCTGTCATTTTCTTTAGGCTCACAATCAAAAGAAATTGTAAAACAAGAGTTCATTGAATATCAAATAAATAAACTTTTCTTTTAATCCTTGAAAAATTATATACATTTGAAAAGGGTAAAGATTAATGCTGATATAAAGCTTAGGCTGACTTGGGTAGGTAATGTGTTTCAAGTTGACTTCTTGTTTCCTTGATTCTGGTGTTCATTGATCTAATGAAGCAACCGACATACTTCTCTTATGGAAATGTTCACTAGTTCTCAGCCCTCGTGAGTGTCTTTGGACTGTGCAATGCTTTATCAATAGATATATAAGATCTTCTTATGTGCAGTAGTTGACAATCTTCATATTCGAGCAGCCTTTTTAGGTTTTCAACTCGAATTCTCCTTTGGTTTCAAGACGTAATCTAAAATTTACGTCTTGAACCCTCCTTTTATCTTTTCCCCTATCATGCATTAAAGATTTTAGAAAACTATTTTTTACAAATAAAATTAACCCTGAGGGGCGGAATGAAATCTGAAGATAGTCTCTCCACTTAAAAATCCATGTATGATTAGAAGGGACTTTTCAGGCACGTAACGTAGGCTAAGGCTCACGGTTATAAAAGAAAAGGATAAATAGGCCCAAACAAGTGTTTAAGGGTTATCGAACCAATGATCAATTCGTTCTGCCATCTTCAATATTGCTCGGCCTGATTTGAATCTGCTCATCCGTCTTTTATTCTATTTTCTTTTGGTGTTCTCTAATCTTCTGGCGAATTAATTCTAAATCTTTGAACCGCCCATCTTGAAGTGTTGGATCTGTCTATTTCTTCTTCTTTTTTAATCTTTTTCTTCTATTTTTTCTCTTTCTTTTTTCTCTTTTTTCTCTTTTTTTTTCTGTGTTTCTCTTTTTTTTCTTTCTTTTTTTCTTTCTTTGTTTGTGTTTTTTTATATATATTTTCTTTTTCTCTCTATGTTGTCAATTCGATTTGATCTTCGAGCGCTTCGTATTTGGTCCACCTTGTAATATCTTGTTATTTCTTCCTATGACTCGCCTCTGTAGCGAAATCTAGATTGATGATCTTCACACATGCGAGCAGATGTCCTTCATCTTTACCCCCCAGTGTGGAGGGTGATCCTTGGTTAGGGTTGGATCAGAAGAAATATTATAGGCTCAAAAGGGGACAACAAGGTGTATATATATACATATAAAAGGATAAATGAAACAAAGCCATTCATCATCTCATACATGGAAGTCTTTGTAAACGAGGTATCCCCAGGGGGGACGAGTATTCAAGATTAATTTTATTTACATGAAAAATGTAATTAATGCATGATAGAATTATTTCAATGATACCCTTTATTTTTTTCTTCTTCCATTTGCCCCTGGTATGCCCCAATTATTCTAATCCTCATTCAAAAAACTTGATCTGCAACACTCTATCTTGTCTTTCTTCTTGCAGAAATGGTTCTCGTATATGCATACATCTTGTACTTTATACCTCCCGATTTTATTGAAATTGGGAAATGAATTGTGGTTCTGTGTATAAGAAGGGAAATGTGTGACTTTAAAGTCGTAATTCTGAAAAATGTAATGTCATGAAAAGATTATTTATGTCTGGGAAGGTAAAAGTACCAGTTTTTGCGCCTTAGGGGATAAGGACATGACTTTATTGTTTCGAAGGGAAGTGATATCAAAGTTTGGTCCTTTGAGAGTAAATGTGTGTTATTTCGGGTAAAGAACTCATCAATGGTTATTTCAGCTTTGGATGGGGTATGGAAGGTCTAATCTTGCCCATTGTCAAAGATTTAAAATTAATGAAGTAGTAAAAGAACCTTTAATTCATTCGATATTCAAAGAACTACAATATTAAAACTTGATTTATTGCTCATAACCTTAGAAAACGACGTAAGTTCAATTATAAAAAAAATATTAAGGAAAGAACAAAAACACGTTCAAACAGGACAAGGCCAGGGCAACAAGGTTTCATGATGGGTGGAAGAATTTCTTGGTAACTGGCCCCAGAATGTCTCATTACGAGTTAAAGGTTAATACCCTTGGGTTTAACAAAATCTGGGCCTTGCTTCTCCATGCCCCACGGATCTCAATGATGTGCCTCAAACTTCAGACAGCTCTAACATCACATCTTTAGCTCTCAATTATTTTCTAAATGCGAAGGGGTGACTTCAATTTGCCTCAAAAGATACAACGAGTTACTCCCAGGATCCGTGATAATGCACGTTGATATGCAATATATATCATGCAATGTACGATGTATGGATGCTAATGTAAATATGTGAAGATGCACATGCAAATGAAAAGATACAAAAATGGGAATGCAAAAATACAAAATGTAAATGCAACAAAAGAATTGATCCCAAAGTAATTGTCATAAAACAACTTCCAAAGAACACACAATGTCTCAATCCACCGAGGCAGATGAAAACTACAAATCACGTCATACTACTCGACTTCTTCAATTTTGATCGAACATGCAATGAAACAATCTTCTTTTATCCTTTGCTTGATGGAAAACTCCAACGCTTCGACTTATTTTCCATAAATGCATTTGTTGAGCGACCATATGCGACTGACATCATCCACTGTCTCGTGTTGATTATCGTTGTTGCTTGATGACTTCAAACATATTATTTCTTTTCAGCTAGTTGTATCAACATCATTGTAGCACCCTTGAAAAGCTTGTTTTACTACATCATTTGAACTTCTTGTGTTCCATCTTGATGTATCTCTTCAGCTGATTCGTGTAGCACCCTTCTGGACAATTGATGCGTTTTTGCATTTCTATTCTACCTCTTCAATTGACATTGTCGTATTGAAAGCCTTCTAATGCGACTATTAACTCAGGAATCAATACCTTATATGACATGACATGTATGAACATGTGTTAATTCCAAGGTAATTATCCTAGAACAACTTTCAAAAAACTCACAACATCCCAATATGTCAAAGAAGATAAAAATATCTACCCCTTCGTATGACATTGTTGTTTTAAAAGCCTTCTAATTTTGATAAATAACTCGGGAATTAACAGCATGTTTATGCACAAATAAAGAAACAATACAAGGAAAAGATGTTAGTAAAAATAATAATCAAAGAGAGAAAATGTATGTTAGTGAAATATAAAAAGATTAAATTCAACTAGTAAATAAACCATAAAATACAATGAATAAAACACAGAAGGGGAAATAAAACCCTAACCGCATAATTTCTAGTTCACATGCAATTATAAAAATAAATAAATAAAAATAAAAAACAAAGATTAGAGTTCATTTCTCCTTTGTGTACACTTATTTGGGTATCTATGGACGAGTTTCGGCATTGTCTTAAATCGGGTGGGTTTCTACGGTTTATTATATGCAGGGTTTCAGTTCTAAGAGTAAAGGTACTCAAATTGTCCTTGTCGGTGCCCCCTTGGGCGAGCCAGACCCTCAATCCTCACCCATTATAGGCTTAAGCGGATCGAGTTCAATTCGAGGGGGCACATTTTCCTATGCTTGACACGGAGAATAAATTCTCACGAAGACATAGGACATATGAACCCCGGAAGCTAATTACTAGGTCTGACACGGAGAATAAATTCTCACGAAGACGTCGCTTTCACTCCCACTTAAAAGGAAGAGCTCAGGTATAGAGCTTATGTTATGCAATGCAAGTGTCGTGTGTGAGGAGAAATTATCAAACCTTTGACAAACAACCACACAAAAATGAACTAAAGCGAATCTGAGACTTTAACATCTGAAAATCAATCAAATACAAATATTAATATACAATGATAAAAAAAATAATAAAAGAATTGAAAGAAATCAAAATAATCGTAAATTAAATAAAATCGAATTCTCAATTTACAACTATAGAGACAATATATAATCGATTTAGGGCTTGATCCACAAAATCCCCAGCGTAGTCGCCAAGCTGTCGACACCGCTTTCCGCCCGGGCGAGGGAAAAACTTAGTACAACTTGGGGTTTTCTTTGAAAAGGTTTTGAAAAGATTTTGAAATGTTTTGGAGTCGCCATTGACCTTTTGAGTTAGGTAGGTCGAATACCTAAAAATTTTCTTTTAAAAGAGTTTTTAAGAAAAACGTCATTTTAAAAGATACACTGATCCACTTGTAACCAGAAATTCATTTTTAAGCAATAATAAGGGTTCGGGGGTCGATTACGTGTGGGGAAGGATAAACACCCCCACAACGCCCATAATTGGTACCCCATCGATTATAAATCGTCTCTAACAGTGAAAATCTAAGAATTTGAATATAAATTTAAGTTACGATCCTATTATTCCAGATTCAACCATACAATTTTTATTTAATGAAAAATTCTAAGGAGAAATATAAAATATTCTAATATTTCCAATTGAAGAGAAAATAATCCCTAAAATATTGTAGGACGAATATTTCTCTTTCCAACTAAAATAAAAAAATATATATATAATAATTTCTCCCAAGAACTCAATATTAAAATAATGTGATTCAACCAAAATGAATAAAACTAAAATAGGCATATTCAAAAGTTTCAGGTTTTTCTAAATAGAGTTTTTATTTATTTTAAAATATCAAAATATGACATCTAGTTACTTTAAGACCGTCTCTTCTTAATATTTTAAAATAAATAAATACTACCCTTAATCCAATTATGAAATCGATTAAGTTATGCTTATGAAGCTTTCATACATATTCCAAATATCTAGATCTATATGCACAAACAAATTTTCATGGCAAAAGTTATAAATTAAAAATACTAATTAGGAACAAATAAATGAAAATTAAAGCAAAGATAAAAATTAAATGCTATTCAATGATGGAAATAAAATTGAACTAAATTAACAAGTGCATATTTAAAGCATAAATATTACGTTAAATAAGCAAACAAAATATAATTACTAAAATGAACATTACAAAAATTAAAGTTCTAAATAATAAAGGTTAAATAATAAATACTAAAATGAACAATACAAATGTAAATAAAGAGAATAAAGTACTTAAGTTTAAAAAAAATAAAATTGTACATTCACCTAAATTATAAATAATAAAATATAAAACATATGCATCACTTAAAATACATACTACAAATTTTACATGCCAAATATAATGTATAATACATTACACCACAACTCGGGACTAAATTAGAATATTACAAATTATATGCCAAATGAGAAATAAAAAAAGTGACTAAAATAAATAAATTACAAATATCACATCTAAATCATAATATAATAAAAACAAAATTCAAACAGTGACTAAAATGAATAAACATAAAAAATAGTGACTAAATTCAAAAGTTAATAAAATCAATATGCATATTCAAAATAAATAACAAAATAAATTACCAGAGTGCAATAGAAGCTAAAATATGAGGGCTTAAGGATGCTTTTACCCTGATAGTGACCAAAATGCAAGATACGCTGAAATAGGGAGGACTTGGAATGCGATTTGACCCTGAAATAAATGAACAAAACAGAAAAACCCCTAGAAATAGGGGACCTGATACGTGATTTAACAATTTTCCATACAAACATAATATTTTCCTCCTCCATTTACGTAAACTGCAGAGAAGCTTATCAAAGCTTCAAACGATTCATTCGGCCGTCGTTCACCGGCCCCCACACGCCGTCCACCGGGCCAGGGACCGACCTACACCCGCCGTCGACCTCAAGCATGACGGAGGAGGACCGACCGACCCCTTGAACGGTAAAAAATCTCACCGTTCTTCATATAACACTCTCTCGTTCTTTCACTCACCCCATGTCGATGAGGCTTAAAACCGAACCTAAACGACGACCAAAACACCTTGGTGACCACCCCATGCTCCGAACGACGATCGAGCCCGCCGAGGGATGTTAAAACGAAGGTCCAAGTGACCTTCTCCTCTCTCTTTGCTTTCAACCAAGACCCTAACAAAGACCCTCCCTACGCTCACCTCCGGCCACCAACAGCCGACACTCTCACTCGTCGGCCACAACTCAACGATGGCCACTCTCCTGCAACTCATCAACCCCGAAAAACCAAAGAAAAAGCAAAGTAAGAAAGGAAAAATGAAAGCCAAAATTGAGAGCCAAGACCAAGTTAAAAATGAAATCTGCTTTTCTTCCCCAAAATCGGGGAAAGGGAGTCTGATGTTACAAGGGTTGGTTGGGGTATTAATAACCCCAACCACTACATTTTAATATTGTTTTTTTACATAATAAAATAAAATAGAAATGGGAAAAAATGGTGTTTACAGTACACCTGAGGGAGGAATTGGAACAAAATCATTGCTAAAAGTATTGCCATTATTAGCTTATATTGCTCCTCTCTCAGCAATTTTGGCACAATTAACCAAAATACTACCTGCAATAAATGGCAGAAATGATTCAAATAAGCTAAACTCAACTCTGATTCACTATGCTTAAAGCGATTACATGAATCGAATAGACTAAGTTAGAATTTAAAGTGATTTGACTTTGTAACAATATAGTAGTTGATGATATGAAATAACAATTGAATGGAAATGATTGAAAATAGATTACTAACCTGAGGGACAGGAAGAATAACGAAAAAATCAAACCAAAAACCTTTGAGAGACCTCACGTAGTGCGAGGCAATAGCTCGAGCATCCCACACAAGTTTCCCACATCCGATCACCAATGACTCCTTGGACACATAGGCCAGCCTGAACTGAAGCCATATGTGCGCCAAGTGCACCGCATCCACACAGGTCCGGACCAACGTGACGATCGCTGCCAACCCGCCATCCAAGTGGACACACGGCGGGCCACCATCGGTGACCATCAAAGTCAAGGTGTAAAAGAACATGGGGTCAACCGCCAAAGCAATGCCTCGTGCAACCAGAAGAACACGGTTCCACTTCTGAACTAACCCACTTCGTGGATCTAAGATTTTCCCGAACGGACCCGCGGTGGACATCGACCGTGCACGGGTCAAATTCTTAGTCGGGCCGGATGAGGACTCGACGGAGAGCAACGATGAGCCGGCAAAAGCTTCCCATTGAGGCTGGTAGACACTGGAGCAGCTGGTGGAATGGAAAACCGGGAGTCCCACTTGAGTGCAAGCGTAGCACTCGACGGAACTCGAGAGCGGTCCGTCTCTTTCACTGCTACTCCGACTATCGTTCTTCAACCATCTGTTACAACAAAACAGAAAAAATGATTTGAATTCTCATAACTTGATTCAATGTTTATAAGTACCGGAGCATGTTTTCAATTATATTAACCGTAATTCATCGTGAGCATCCATCTTTCGTGAGATTGAATTGCCGCCGGCGTTGGGAGATTTCCGGTGGGATTAAAAGGAAGAAAAGGGGCGGTGGGGTGGCGGGTAGTGCATGAGGAAGGGTGTGATGGCTTGAAGAAAGAGAAGCCACATTTTAATCAGCGACAAGGGGGACGTGTGGGGGAGTAGTTTGGGGTTTTTTATACAATAAGATTCATACTTATGAGACGCATAAATAAATTCGACACTCTTTTTTTCTTTCATTTTGGATTGAATTTTAAGATAACCCATGGATCTATCTTTATTATTTTTCGTTTCCCAAAAAAAATATTTATTATTTTTCATCTTAATATAAATATCAATTTCAAATATATTTTTTAATACAAAAAAATATTTGGTAACGCATAACATCACCACTATATATAAAATTATAAAACACGACGTTTTATTATTATTAGAAATTGTATCTAAAAAGAAGTTTCCTTCCAATTTTCATTTAAAATGTCGGAGAAAAAGATTTGTTCACATCGCAAATCAAGTTTTTAAATTTACGATGAGAGTGATTGGTAAACAACTTATAGTTGGTTTGATCAATTGATTTGATTAATTGATTTGAATAACTGTTTATATAGAAGTGTTTGGTAAAATTTAACTGATAGCTGACATGGGTAAAATAACAAACACGTATATGATACATTTAGTTGTTAAATACATATATGTTTTATAATACTTTAGTCTTTATTAGGGTGAAATTATTTGGATAAAATGATTTTGATTTTGACAAGGAATTAAAAATTCCTTAAGAAAATTAGTGAATATTTTTTTGAAAATTTTGAATATATTTTTTAATTTTAATATTTACAAATATTAACCTTGTGAGATTGATAGATACTATTAACGTTGTATAGAATATCAACACTACATTTTTTTTACTTTCATGTTTTGCTATATTTTCTTAACTAAAATATATTTGAGAATCTACAACTACAAAATAGAATAATAAAATAAAATTTCACTAATTCATCATTAGGCGTTGCATAAAATTCATTTTACACAAATTCATTTAAAATAATAAGGTTTTGTGGCAAGGATGTAATTATAAAAATAATAAGGTCAAATATGTCATTTAACATCTTATTTTGCAATCAGTTCTCCTAAGCCGTTGGATTTTCAAACGTTTTTCATTTTCAGTTTATTTTGCACTATCAGCTCTTTCAAAAATGTATTTACCAAACACTTAAAATAGAGGGTTTGACTAAAATGGTTGTCTTGGCTCAATGGTTTGGCTTGCAATATTTCACTCAAGGGTCGAATCCCCCTGCTTGCTTCTTTGTTGAACATGCTTAAACTTCGATCCTGGTCATAATGTCATTTATCTAAACCAAATAGAAGCAAGTTTTACTCTCTCAAGATGAACATCAATAACGTCCAAGAAGATCAAAGAGTCACAAAGAAAGCAAAGAATCGGGAATTAACAATTGAAAACAATTCAGCAAACGAAGAATATGCAGACTGAAGTTGATTCCCAAGAAGAATGAGCTACGATCAAATAACATCTCAAGAGTCCCGAGAAAATCTCTTATGCTGCCATGGCTACCAGGGGATCGATTATAAACAAGAATCCCCCAGTCAAGATGCCTGAATAAGAGATAGTATTCCAAGAAGGAGATGTCACCATGGACAGCTCTGGAGAATTTCCTAGAATAAGCTTCTCAAAGTGAATCCATGATCTGATTGATCGAAACATGAAACAAGTTTATTATCACTAGACTGCTGAGAAAGAAGATTGGATATAAAGCGTTGTTAAACATGATACATGCGTTATGGATACCGATAGGCAACTTCAACTTAATAGATCTTGATAATGACTACTATCTGGTGAAGTTTGAAAATATGGAAGACTATAATAGATTTCTCACTGATGGCCCTTGGATGATATATGGAAGTTACCTGGCTGTTCAACCATGGTCGAGGAACTTTACCACATCTGAAAAACATCCTTCACAAGTCATCGTCTGGTTGCGACTACCTGGACTACCTTACAGGTATTACAATGCAGTGTTAATCAGAACAATTGTGAATACGATTGGAAGAGTTATCAAAATTGATTACAATACTAAAGTTGGAGAGAGGGGAAAATTTGCAAGAATTGCAGTTGTTATCGATATGAACAAACCTCTTATTCTATGCGTGGGAATTGATAACTTCATCCAAAAGATTGAATATGAAGGTCTGCAATAAATCTACTTCAATTATGGTACCTATGGACATGCAAAAAAAGTCTGTCAAACCAACCAAGAAGAGAAGCAGATGGATACTTCCAATACTAGCAATGTTATTGAAGAACAAGTCAATGTTGAAATAAGTAAATAAAATCCCTTTGGTCCTTGGATGGTTGTTCAACCAAGAGGAAGAAACAGTAGATTTCAAAGAACTCAAAATAGAAACAAAGAGGTTGAAGGATCATCAAGACAAGGATCAAGATTTTCCCCTCTATATGAAGAACAATTAGAGGAAGAATCCAGGGAAAGCAATAAAGCTTACCGGCATCAAAGGAAGGAAAATGATATACAAGAACCTGCTACAAGAACAAACATTTCAACATATCAGATGAAGAATAGAATGAGAGATAGAGAAATAATGAGAAACAAAAACACATTAGCTCAAACTGATAATACAGACCAAACCTAGAAGAAAAGTACTCACACTAGCCTTAAAACTGATGATAGATTAGTTGATGTCCCTATTACTGACAGTGAAATGGCAACGAGTAAAGACAATACTAAGGAGGTGAACTTAGGAGGGATCTAAGTCATGGCGAATGAGGATGCCCAAATCAGTGAACACAGGGTAATAATGGGAGATGCAATACATACAACAATTACCATTCATGAAAATGACAATCAGAATCTCACTACTTCTATATAGAACTCCAACAAAAAGTCAAAACAAGTTTCTCACATTTCCAAAAAAGGCCTTAAAATTAGAAAATCTAAACCTACTATCAGTCCTAACGTTCAGTTACTTTCGGGATGGTTCCAAGAAAATACCATGAATTTAGAGAACTTGACTCCTCCTGATAATAACATTCCTACAACCAACCAAGTTTAAACGATGAAGCAAATTGATCTGAAACAGAGTCAAGAATGAGAACAAAAGGAAAAAGAGATGTCACAAAGCACCTACCCATTACCTCAATAGTTATGAAGATTCTATTTTGGAACACTCAAGGGATTGTTAAACCCTCTTTTAGAAGATATTTCAAAGACTATGTGATTGTGCACAAACCCAAGATCATTGCCCTGATGGAAACTCACACAAGTGGTAAGAGAGTTGATAGAATTATCAACAATATGGGTTATATTAACTCTTTCAGAATCGAAGCTCAGGGTCATAGTGGAGGCATTTAGATACTTTGGGATAATTCGGTAAAGGTTAAAATTTTAAGTATCTCTAAACAGTATATCCATGCACATATTAAGGATAGTAGCAGCAACTGCTGGAACTATTTTACAGTAATTTATGCTAGTCCCAACCCCAACATTCGATGTAAGCTATGTGATCTCCAAGAAAAGCTCAAACATAGCAATAATGAACCTTGGATCTTAGGAGGAGACTTTAATTGTATCTTGAAACCCAATGAGAGAACTGGTGGTAGCAATCATTTCAGAGGAGGGAGTAAACACTTCCAAGACTTCATATTCAACAACAATTTAATAGATGTTAAGTACCAAGGTGATGAATTTACTTGGAAATGTGGAAACCTATGGAAAAGACTAGATAGATGTATTATGAACATGAAGTGGTTAGAATTATAACCTTGACCGAATGGGATCAGATCATTGTCCTATTCTTCTGTATACTATAAACAACCCTAAAGGGAATAAAAAGAAACAATTCAGATTCCTGGCAGCCTGGATAGACCACCCAGACTTTGAGCAGTTTATTAAAAAAAATGGGTTAAGCATGATAACCTTATAGAAAGCCTCAATCATATCAAGGAAAGCATCAAGGTTTGGAATAGTGAAGTTTTCGGTAATATCAACCAGAAGAAGAAAAAATTAGTTGCTAGGCTAAAAGGTATTGATAAAGATCTCCGTTATTATAACTCTACCATACTGAAAACTCTTGAAGCTGAGCTCAAGTTTGAGCTAGACTCAATCCTAAGACAAGAATAACTTCTTTGGGCTCAAAGGGTGAGATGCAAATGGATTACCCACGGAGACAAAAATACCAAGTACTTCTACTCCTGTGCAATTACTAAAGGCAGGAAAAAACTTATTACTGCCCTCAAAACAGAATCTGATAATTGGTACGAAGACCAGGAAATGCTTAAAAGTCATGTGAAGAAATTCTACGAGGATCTATTCACTAAGGACCCTTTAGTGAGGCAATCTCTTGAGAATAATATACATTTTCCTAATTTGAATCGTGAGCAATGGAGTTGGCTTGATAAACCTTTCGATAATATTGAAATTAAAGATGTTCTATTCAATATGAGCCCTCTAAAAGCTCCAGGAGTTGATGGGTTTCATGCTAACTTCTTTCAGAAAAATTGGGATACAATTGGAGAAAAGGTTTGCTATATAGTCAAACACTGCCTTAATGGTGGTCAGGTTGAAGAAACTTTAAACAGAATATGTTTGGTTTTAATCCCTAAGGTAGATAACCCTGATAGAATTACCCAATTTAGACCTATAAGCCTCTGTCAGGTTACATACAAAATTATAACCAAAGTTATTGTTAACCGCCTAAAACATATTCTTCCTTTTATAATCTCTAATAACCAAACTAGGTTTGTACCAGGCAGGGTTATTACTGACAACATAATCCTAGCTCAAGAGGTGATTCACACTATGAATAAAAAGAAATAAAAGAAGGGGTACCTGGCCATCAAGATTGATCTGAAAAAAGCATATGACAGATTAGATTAGAACTTTATTAAGGATAGCATTGAGAAGTTGGGTCTGCCTAATAAAATTATATTGGCTATTATGAATTGCATTGCCTCCATGAAAATCCAA